TATTTATTTATTTGAGAGAGCATGGGAGAGAACCTCCAGCAGACTCCCTACTGAGCGGGAAACCTGAGATCAGGATGTGAACTGAAACCAAGGGTCTGGCGCTTAACAAACTGCACCACCCCAGTGCCCCATGCTATTGTGAACAATTTAATTAAAATTGTCCTCTACTAAGGACTCAGGCATATGAGGAATAAAACAATTACACCAATCAAAAAAATCAAAAGTATACAATTTCAGCATAGTTAATGCTAATGAGTATGGATTATTCCTAACATAAAGGTGGTGATATATGTCAAATGTATAAAATGACTTCTACTGAAAGATGGAGTACACAAGAATTTTTTTAAAGAGATTATTTGGTGTTATTCTAGGGTTTCTACTAGCTGAGGATTTTTATTTCTCACTCTAATTTACACCCTGTGGCTTTTTGCCCAGGAAAAATACAAGAATACGAAACTCTTGAGAGATAAAGAAATGATACATCGCAGTTTAGAGTTTATGATGTGAATCCTACCTGCAAATACATATCCTATTTCAGACAAATTCTCTAATCCCTATTACAGATTTACTATAATATATGTATCTACTTACCTGTCTGCCTCCTCACTTGTGCTGTTAATATATAGTATTATCTACAATATAAAAGATGGGAGATAAACTAAGGAAGTAATGCTTGAGTTGAGATCAGAAGGATCAGACAGATTTATTAAAGTAAGTATCAGGGGAAAGATCCATCCAGGAAATAGAAACAATAAGCACAAAGACCTAGAAGGAAAGAGACTGGGAATGCAAAATAACTGAAAGAAAAACAGAAACTCCAGAGTGTCAGGAGGGGTGTGAGGGGAGAGTGGTCAAATAAGCAGGTTGGAAGGACCTAGACCAAAAAGCAGATTTCCCTAACCGCTAGGATTAAAAGAAAGCAAGGAAATGTCTTAGAAAGCTACCATTTGCTTTCTAAGAAGCCCGCTCTGGCTTCAGTGTGGAAACCTGATTGGACAGGCCAAGCGGTAGAAGAGAGGAAGAAGTGAGTTAAAAGTGTTATTTCATCAAGGGAAACCATATATCATGGTGACCTTTACGTCTCTGGTCTGATGTCAACTAGAAAAGCCGACATAGTTTAGTATACACAGGCATTACCTGTAAGGGGCAAACATCTTTTTTGGGATGCTTGGGTGGCTCAGTCGGTTAAGCATCTGCCTTCAGCTCAGGTCATGATCCCAGGGTCTTGGGATAGAGGCCTGCGTCAGACTCCCTTGGAGTCTGCTTCTCCCTCTCCCTCTGCCTATGGCTCTTCCTACTTGTCCTCTCACTCTCTCTGTCAAAGAAATAAATAAAATCTTCAAAAAAGATTTTTTTCTTGTCCTAAATACTTTCTCATTATATCTATGATTATGATTTCTTGCCATTTTTTTGCCTACAATTCCCTTTCAGTACTTATTGTTACTATTTTTTTAAGAGTTTATGCCCATCTAAGTTTAAGGATCTAGTATCATTACTTTATCCACTTGTATTCCAGAATATTCTTAAGCATATATGAGAGAATATCATATACATACATTCCACCCACCGGATACAAGGTTGGTAACACCTGTTGTAGCATCCAAAATACTTAAAAATATCAAGTTACATCGTAGTGGAATCTATACTTACAACAGCATAAAATGTCAATTCTAAAAAGAGAAACCACCCAGAGCAACAAAATCTTTTGGGATACAAAAACTCAAACCTGAAAGTCCCACAAATTTATAAGGTACTGATAAAACCTCTTTGCTTTGGATATTTGTGATAATCATTGAATGATGGACATTGCCAAGGCAAATTCCACCTGTATATAGAACCGGTCTGTTTCAAAACAATCACTTTTTCCACAACAGGCAGTTATTTCCTTACGTTAAATAGAAAACTAAAGCCTGTATTTACAAATGTATGTTAAGGCAATCTAAGTAGACTTGTATTTTTTATGCCTTCACAATTTTGTCTAAGATATTTCCATCCCTATGGATAGAAACACACACATACATATAATATATATTACATATAGTTTTATATAAAAGTCACATATAGAGACATACAACATTACATACATATTTCCTATTGATAACAATTGTAGAGAACTCACTATAGGAATTATACATGCTTTAAATATAAATCAAACTGCATTTATTTTAGGTTTTTTTTTTCTAAATCCAACTTTATCTCTTTGGATCTTTTGAGGTCTGTGACTATAAATAAACTTGTTTCTGCATTTTATCTTTTCCTTTTCTCATGTTTTATGTCAACACTCAACTAGTCTCCACCCTGTTCATTAAACTTTTTTTTCTAACAGATGTTGCTTTTTTTCCCTTTTACCCTTTCATGTTATCCAGGAAAGATCAAAGCATTTAGTCATTCTTGTCCACTGTATGTAGAGGTGTGTGGGTGAAATTTTGCATGATCCTTGTGTTCTGGTTGCTTTCCTAACGTTTTCAATTACTTTCTTTGGTAATATTTGATATGTGTTGACTGCTTCAACTAATAGAAATCATCTTAAATCCAGCTACTTTTTGAGAATAAAGGGAAATAGTGTAAAGCACTACATCAACATTCAAATTTTACCTGTTTTGAAGAGGCAATTGACTCATTTTCAATAAGTAAATATTACTTTGTGAAAGAAATCTTATGATTTTTCTCTGAAATTACAAAGAAAGTAAAAGATAACTATATTTTTAAAAATAATTATCTAAGGTTACTTATTCACATTATTTTAATATGGAGGGGAAAACCCTCATAAATAGCTTGACATACATGAAAATTTCTTTCATTTTTTTTTCACATGATTGGCAGTGAGAATGAAGGCAATGTAGTGAAATGGAAAGGTGAATTAGCTGTCAGAACTGATTTTCAGTTCAGCTTTTACCACTAAGTGGCCTTGGGTTTTTGGAATACTACTTAGACAATCTGAGTTTAAATTTCCTATTATAAAGTGAAGGACAGAAATTAGAAGAGGTAGATGGCAACGGTAAGATACAGTATTTTATAGTCATGTATTCTGAGCAAGAATTTTATTGAAATTGTGGTCACAGTTTAATTCTGGATATAAGTTTATTTTCATAATTTTTTTTTTTAACTGAGATACCAGATATTGCTGAGCTTTGTGCTCAGTACAGTACTGGCCTGAAGTGGTTATGTAGACATCAAGTTTTCCAACTTAATTTTTGGTACTAAAATCTTCCAGATCAAAATTTTTCTTAGCAGCATAGCTGAAAAATACTTTTCATTTCTGTCTTAGGAGATTCATAAAGTTTCAGACTTTGATGAGTACAAGGTGGAAAAGTAAAGGTGACTAAATTTTTGGTCATTCATACAGCAAACACATCATTTCATTTTATTTTTCATTTTACTGAACTTGATTTTAATCAAAACATGGGAATACTGATTGCCTCTGACGCACTTTCTAAACAAGGGTATATCAGTTCACTTCTAGTCATCTGGACATTTGTGTTGTAAAAATGGTTATATTTTGCTTGTCATTTACATAATCTTTTCCCAGTCATTTGTCAGGTAAGTTATTCTTCCCTATTCTAGGGGAAAAAATTTTTTACATATGTCTAAAAGACTGTGCAACTTTAGGCATAATTTTTTTTAAAATTCCATATTGTTATTAGCAAAAATCTGATGTAGTGTCAAGGCATTAACTAGAATTGCTAACTAGCATGACATAAGACAAAGAAAAGGTATTCCTTACTGCAAATCTTACATTTGCCACCAAGATTTAGGCCAGCAAAGGGCAAGTAAATGTGGGGCACTAAACATCCATCCTCTCCAGGTTAAGTAATTTAAATATGAGGTAAGACAGCTATTAAATGCCAACAAAATGTAAATCAAAAGAAGAAAAGTTTGCCAGGATGAAAGCACTTAAAAGGAGCTTGAACCCTGGCATGTATACAAAACCCAATTTGCAACATTAGACAGATTCAGACATTTAGCCTCTGTAGAAAGCTTTGTGATCATCTCAAGTGAGGTAACTTGCTGAAATAGAAGCTAGCTCTGTACTTAATCACTAACCAATTTTCTTAAGTGAATATACATAATGCATATTAGGTAAGTATTTTTTTGAGCACAAGAGAAATCTTGAAGTGTGAAAATTTTGAGGACACCAATTTACTGTCATTTCAGTGGCAGCAAAAGTCACAAACACAATGAATCAGTGACAGACCTGTGAATTGATTTTAGATCCCATTAGACTCTCTTTTTAACCACTCAGCAATTCCTGAGATTGCTTTCAGTGACCAGAGATGCAAAATTGAATTAAAATGTCAGACTGAAAAATAAAAATAAAATAAAAATGGAAAGTAGTCATTCTATACAGTTTGATTTCTGACTTGAAACAATATATTTCCTGCATGTCAATGTACAAATCTCAAAGCTGTACTCTGAGGCACTGATACCAGATTCTACCCCTTATATAGGAACAGATTTAAATTACCAACGTATAATGGCAAAATATGCAGATACCAATAACTGTGTTAAATACAATTTTAAGGCCTACACCATTCAATTTTTTAGGCAATGATTAAAGGATGTCCCTTCATATAAACATACATTTCTCTAAATGCATTTGTTCTAGCTGGAATTTCTAAATACTCTTAAGTACAAAATTAAATTTGAGTAAAAAATGAAGTTTTTCAAATACATTAATATCTCAATATCTTCATAGGCAGAAATAGCTTGATAAAACCCATTCATATCAAGAAACATGGAATAATAACTGAGAGTCTTCTGTTACTTGATAATTTGTATACCATATAAAATTACATATTTTCTATTTATTAGAGAATCTAGAATTCTAAATATATCAGCATCCAGAATTTTCAACGTTTTTGAAATAGTACATAATCAAAATATTAAGAAAAACTAAAGACATGTTTCACTTCTAACTTAAAAGGAGAGTTGCAAAACTCATTTTTATTTTTTTATATTTTAAGCATTTTACTTAAAATATACTGCTCTTAATGCTACAGGTTCTGAGTTTCCCTTTTGGGTCAAAAAGAATTACAACTCTTCCGGATTATAAAACGTACTACCACTCGCCTGTGTGTCTGAGTGGAAGCACAAGTAGGTATGTTTTGCTGATCTTTGCTCAATATCTAGATTATACAGAGAATTAATAGAAACGAAAAGTGTTTCTGTGAGCTACCCTAGCACTTCTTTTACTGAAACATGACTTCCTGATTATATTACTACCATATCCTTTAAAGGACTCCATGAATTTGCCACTGCCATCAAATTTTACCAACTTGACAGGCACTGTCACATTCTTAATAGGAAGAACTTAATGTTTCTTTCAAGAACATTCCTAATAATGCAAGTTGTAGTTCATTTTACTTGAAATTCAATGTTTTGAGAATGTTTAGCCCAAAGTATTAACAAACACGTAGTACATGTTGTTGAATACATCCAGCTTTCTTTCTTTTTTAAGGCTTAATAATATTCTGTTGTATGTGTAAACCACATTATCTTTATCCATTCATCTGCTGATGGATACTTAGATTGTTTCTCTCTCTTAGCTATTGTGAATAATGCTGAAATGAATCTGAAGGATATTATGCTAATAAAGTAAGCCATCACAGAATGACAAATGTTCTAGGATTTCAATTAAATGAGGAATTTAAAACAGTCAAAGTCACAGAAACAGAGAGTAGAATGGTGATTGTTAGGGGCTGAAAGTAGGGGAAATGGGGAGTTGCTGCCCAATGAGTATTAAGTTTCAGTTACACAAGATGACTAAATTTCAGAGATGACCTCTACAACATTGTGCCTACTATTAAGAATACTGAATCATGCACTTAAAAAGGTACTCAGAGACTAGATCTTGTGTTAAGTATTCATGACAATAAAAAAAACTAAAAGAAACAAAAAGGTACAGCATCATTCCAATAAGAGGTAAGTGGTACAATATCAGACATAAGATTTATGTCATCAGAAAAGCCACATTATGATGGTTATAAAAACAGATTTACTAGTTGTGTGATGATATAGGTATGTGTTGAATGACCCTGAAACTTTGTTTCCTAAATTGAAAAATGGAGATAACACTTCCATCACAGAGTTGTGAAAATCAAATGCCATAATACTGATAAAGCCATCAAGCATCCCAATAATGACAGCCATTAATAGTAATAAAATTAATGAAAAAATCATGGGGAGTAGTTACAGCAGGAAAAAAACTGAACAGAGTAACAAAGAATAAATCAGGTATATCATTTTCATAAACATTTCATAGAGGCAGTATAAGCTATAAAGTAATAATGAAATTAAAAATAAAGCCTGGATTTTTCATTAAAATCACTGTTTCTAAGTACTATATATCTTATTTCTGTTAGTTTTTTGTTTGTTTGTTTGTTTGTTTGTCTTTTTCATTTTTTAAACAAAGTGTGTTTGAATTGCTTTCACATATGCATTATACAAAATAGCATTCTCTGGATTTACAAGCATGGAGAAATCACGCTTTTGTGATACACTATGGGTGAGACATTCACATAAGTTTGCATATGCCAGTTAAATGTTTTATGAACAACATAAATTCAGCTTATTTGTAGACTTAGAAGTGAAAACTGAGTGAGCATGAATCACAATATGCTATAAAAAATGTCTACCTAATTATCACAAAAGAATTGGGAAACCATTTTTTCATTAGAGCATTTAAACATTGTCCTCTTCCCAGGTGTACTTCATCTATTAGCTTTGGATATTATTTTTATTCTTGTTTTCCTATGAGAATTCTAAATATTATTCAGTGTCTTTCACTCAGTATTAGTTCAGGTTCTCATTATGTCATACTATGCAATGTTCGCCACAGTCTCAATATGGACATACCTACATGTCCATTCATCACCCTGTATCCCCACCCATTTACATTTACACCAAAACTATGTTTACACAAAAATATATTCCAAAACCAATCATGGCAATAATAGTAGTTTTTTCTTAAAATTTGTATTGTTCTTGACTAGCTTCTGCAAACTTAAGTTGATCCTAATTTTCCAGCCTACTTTTTTTGAAATCACTATACCCTGCACATTGGGATATTTGCCATTTCCCCATTTATGATTCTTTCCTTTTATTCTGTCCTTCTAGCCTTTACTATCTTCCACATCCATCAATACTTCAACCATTGTTCTAAACCCAGCTAAAATGTGACCACCTTTGTTCACTTCATGAAATCCCCTTGTTCACAGTCATCACCTTATTGAAACTAGGCACAAATTATTTTTGAAATACAATAAATACAACACAGAAATCCTGAATTTAACCCCTTAAATTAGAGTTAGTGACTTTATCCCTTCTCTCCCACTGCAATGTGCTGGTACTTCCCTTTAAAGGAGAAGGTTGTGGATTCAGACACAAACCACTGAATAGGATGCTTGTCTCAGGTACATTCCAAAATACCATGAGAACCTTAACTTTCTCAATAGTACAATGAGAACTTAAGAGTACCTAGCTTATCAGATTTTATGAAGAGTGAATGAAGAACACATTCAAAACAGCCATCCCTGGCCATCTGTTTATTGCTCATTAGCTGTTTGCTGTTGGGAGTCTGTTATTACTACTGATGTTTTCACCTATGTTGAAGTTAGATATTTACATATATGTTAGCTCTTTGGGGCAGACATTTGTACTTACATTCCTCACTATTTCTATTAGGATTTTGCTTAGAAAAAATATTTCCTAATATAGGAATATATAGGATATATATAGAATAAAAATATATATAGGATATACATATATATATATATATATATATGCCAAAAATATATCCAAAAATATCCTATATTTTTATTAAAGTCAGTTTTATCTCTATTGAATCAGTCATCTGAATACAAATTACTTCCAAGTTCACCTGGGCATTGGTTGTAGCAAGTGAGCAGAACTCTAGCTACAATTCTAAAAAACCCAAGATATAAATGTTAAGCTTCATTATTTCCTAGTATACCTTCAAATCTATTTAATAAATAAAACTGTTATTCCAGAAGTTCTGGTTTTCTCATTATGTCTTTCCTTTTCACCTCAGTGCTATTCTCATCACCTCACGCTGATTCTCATCACCAGCCTTTGTTATTTCTACTTCCCAGCTCTCATCCCATCCAAATTGACCACATGTGTTATGTCTGGAGCAGCTGAGAACCACAAGGAGCCCGAGACCAGGGACATTACACTAGGGCAAGTAGAGTGTCCTCAGATGTGAACAAAGAGAACAGGGAATGCTATCTGCTTAAAACCTACCACAAGGTTTATTCTTAGTGGGCTGTCAGAGTTATCTTCCATCATATATTTTCTAACAGTAAGTAAATTTATAGAATTATATATTCTTCATGATTAAAATTCAGTACCAATAAAACTAGAAAACAAATACAATTAAAATTAGCAACAGTAACACAGTGTGGTAATGATACTATGTGTTCTAAAAAGTAAATACTTTCTTACAATATGAACAGGGTTCTAGTGTCCAGAAGCTATAGTCTTTGGGGCTAGTAGTTCAACCCTCCTCTGTGCTCTGGAATGATTTAATTTTCTAACCACTTTTCTCTATTTCAACCACAGCAAAACTTCCTTCACACAGCCCACTTTGACTTTACCTTGGCCTATTCTTGGCAGGAATATGTCATTTGCATATCAAGTCAACCTTTGTTTCTTTCTCATTAGCCCAAGAAAATTAAAGGGTGTTCTTGGCACTCACATGATCATAATCCGCAAGCAAACAAAGAAACTATAATTTTAAGGTTTTACATGATTATGTGGTAGTTATCCAAATAATTTAGAATGTACTTATATTATTTTTTCAGATTATCATCAAATTGAGTCATCTGCAACAAATCTACAAGGTAACTTGCTAAAGCCCATTTGAAACACACTGCAAAAGAAGGCAAATATATTCTGATCTGTGGAAATTCACTTAAGTCTATTCTGCTATTTTTCCTAAGTTTCAAATACATCAAACTAACACGTTTCTCTCTTATATATCCAAACTGTATTTCCACTATCTTAAAGTTTGGTACCAAAGAAAATAATACAGGCAAGAAGGCAAAGAGATAAAGAAGGAAAAACATACAACCAGAGTTCAAAGGATCATAGTGGAAGAACGAGAATGGAACAGAAGAAAAAAATGGACCAAGGCGGTGAGCAGACAATGGGGTTTAGTACTACTACTCTGTGTGTTTCCTGTAAAATGTAATAACAGTAACAAACAAATTAAAGTTTTTATGGATAGAAATTTCCTCATGAAATAGATTACATGAGGAATGAATGCAGAGGAATCAGTAAAAAAAATGACATAAAAAGGGGAAAGAGTAACTTGGGTACTATACACCTCCAGTGATAGGGTAGGTCCAGTATATATAAGGTCTTTGATCCAAAGTACATATTGAAAGTTCATGAGAAGAAAAATATTTTGATTAATATTCTGTATATGCATCAGTCCCTATATCTATACTGTGAATGAAGATGCCATTCAGAAATTAAGTATGATATATAATAAAGACCTTTAATAAGTAATTGATAATGATATCATGGCATCAATATGGGTGGCCTTTAGAAAACTGTTTAATCTTGTCCAAATTATTTTTCTGGCAATAGGTGAACCAGATCTGATAAAACATGAAACTAAATACCCTACAAATTAAGAACTAAATGCTAACATTTCCATTTTTATCTGGCACAGTTCTTAGGACTAAAATGTAGTGAAATATTGTCAGGGGAAGAAAAGGAAAAACACCTTTTACACCTGAACCAAATAAGTAGTAGAAGGTGGTAAAAGAATATTAATATCATACCTAGGTATTTTCATATCAAATATTTAGAGCAAACAAGTCAAAAAATAAAATGGTGATTTGAATATTTTAAATACAGTGGTGGGGGATTTCTGGCACTCTCACTCTTTCTTTTTTGTATCATTTGTGAATTCTTTTTTTTTTCTTTTCTAGTCTTGTTTCTAATCATAACTTAGTTCTGCCTACCACCTCACTTAGCTACTAGTTCTATTACTTTTGAAAAACTATCTTAGTGCTAATATTTAGAGTTTAGAATGTTAATAGCTCATGAAAAATATACTACTGAGCTGTTAAATACACTCAGAATCTATGAACTAGGATGCTTTTCCTCAAATACAAACATCAGAGCGTTTTAAAATGTAATTTGCAATATAAATGGTGGCATTGCTTATTTAGGATGGTAACTTATACAGGTCTACCTTTCAACGTGATTCAAGCACTGGAAGATTAGGAAAGAGAAACCTAGAAACCATTATAGACTGGTTCTAACCACATTTTGCTCAGTTAATAGGGCAAATAATGAACAAGCTGCCTCTGATGGAAATAATGAGTACCCAAGAAGAAATCTCCAAGGAATCCTGACTTTTCCTGCCTTGGTTAGTCAACTATAAAGTAAATGCCAGACTCCAATGTATGACTTAAGAAAGACGGAAAGATGTAACCTGCCCAAAAGTAACTCCTCAAGGTTTAACCAATATAGCTAAATTTCTCAAGTTTAGTATTTTCTCTTAAAGATAAACTAGGGCTCTGTTGGGCTAAATAGCATAATGCATTGAGAGAGATAACTCAATTATAAAAGGTTAGATTAGATGTGTAAATAGTCAAAAGAGTGCTAACTACCACTTAGATAACATTCTGGCCTTGGAGACTGTAACTAAGAGCATATGATTCAAAATTTTGCATAAAAGCAAAGACATATTGTTGGTGGAAGGGAAGAACCAGACAAAACATTTTATTGTATATCTAGATATATTGGTTGTCACTGTAGAAATAACCTTGGAGATAGCCATTAAGCTTCATTGCATTTCTTAATGTCCCTTTGGTTCAATCATAAATTGAAATCATGACATTAGGAGAGTATTTATAGAGTTAATATTTTCCAGCTCTCATCTGGGTCCATCTTTCTTTAGATTTCCTGTCCAGTATATAGAAAAGGCCCATTTGGAATTTGAGAAAACATCCAGAGACTTTTTGAAAAGCTATACTCCTCCTAAATTCATACATTTTTTTTTTATTAACAGATGTAAATTTGAAGGGGAAATGCCATATACTATAAGCCATTTGGGAATATTCTGTCTCGTAAGGATGACTTACACTTTTCACTTGAATGGCATGGATGCTGAGAGCTTAAAGTCAAAACTCATCCGTACTCTTGCTTGGAATCATTCCTTCCATGAACTCCGCGTACATTTTTATGATAAACACACATGTGTATAAAGTATGTGACCTCACTAGCAGTTATCTGCAGTGTCAAGTACCATTGGCAGATAACCAAGAATTGATTGACACACATCTTATAGAACTGGAGTTAATTAATAGGTCTACCAGTTCCCAATTGTACCACAGGAAACAGAAAATGTGTTTAATATGGTAATCAATGACATACTGTGTGTGGTCAGAAGACATTCACTATATGGGAAGAGTAGATTTCAGAATACAGTATTCAGGAGTATAAATATTGCTATTAAAAATGCTAGGAGGCTAAATTAAGGTCTATTGCCATAACTGGAAGACTAAGCATGGGTTTTCTCTTTTTAAAAATTTTTTTTTATTTTTTTGCAAACTATCATTATTTAAAGGAATTGTTAATTTCCTCCTACAAGATCTGTGGCTATTGACTGATAAAGGGAATCTTGATTTGCTTCAAAAATGATGTCTTTACTTCTGTGGCTTTCAGTCATCTGAAATGATAAGTCCATAGTATCATTTTCTAAGAATGAGTTTCAACAATTTAGGGAACTCAACATAAGATAATGAGTTATTTTAAAGAAAGAACACTGTTGGGGCACCTGGGTGGCTCAGTGGGTTAAAGCCTCTGCTTTCAGCTCAGGTCATGATCCCAGGGTCCTGGGATCAAGCCCCACATCAGGCTCTCTGCGGAGCAGAGAGCCTGCTTCCTCCTCTCTCTCCCTGCCTACCTCTCTTGACTACTTGTAATCTCTGTCAAATAAATAAATAAAATCTTTTAAAAAGAAAGAAAGAAAGAAAGAAAGAAAGAAAGAAAGAACACTGCAAAGAGAAAACTGAATATTAAAATGTCGCTAAAGTAAAAAATGTAAAAAAAAAAAAGTGAAAAGCAAAATGGTTTATTTGTGTGTGATAAAATTATTTGTAATATGTAAAGGCAGGGCAGAGGTTTAAAAAAGATACTATTTCATTATTTTATATAGTGTGAGGCAAGTATCTAGTGAGCCAGTGAAGTATTTGTGCTACTTATAAACTAAAAAGATATGTCCAGGTTTTAAATGTAAAGACACATCCTTTTAAGTACATAAAACTTTCAAACTTCATAACACAAATCAGTCCTGTTCACCATGTTATATCCTCCTTTTCTAGTCTTTCCATTGCTGTCATTCTTTTCCTAAGGGCACGAAGCACACACCTTGTCTCTTTTCAACTTCACAAAGAGCATAACTGTCTAAATCCAAGGACAGGATTTTAAATACCAGCACAGATCAACTTAAAACAGATTCTCTCTTAAGGTAACTTAAGCACTTGAAAATTAAATTTTATGTTGTCTAGACAAGCTATCTTGATAATATCTTTTCCAGAATTTCCTAGATTGACTGTCTAGACTGTCCCAAATTCCCCCAGATGACTGCATAATCATCTACCCTCTGACCTCTTAAAGAGTCTGGAACAGTATTACCCAATATATAGCTGCCATGCAAATCAAGATCATTGAGCTTCTGAAGGAGGACTTCTCTCAAAAGCTCTGAGTCTCAGAATCTCAGGAAAATATTTGCATCCCAATAATCCTACCTCAAAAATTAGAAGGGAAGCTTTCTTTCTTTCTTTCAATGGAAGAAATGGCCTCCATTTCCTGGGTAAATGGTCTGGCTCCCAAACCTGTATCTCTCCTTTCCTCTGTCCACCCATAAGGGAGCAATGAATAGTTGATGAGTTATAAAGGAAATATGCTGTGAATTCTACTAAATAGCAATTTCAAAAAGATAAAGAAAATCAATATTTGGGGGAAAATGATAAAAATATGAGAGCAATATATGGTATTTTAATTTAAATGGCCATCAAGATCATCCAAGCTTCAAATTTTAAAATGAAGGGAAATAAGGTAATTGCAAGAATCACCTGGTGAAAATAATGGCCCAGTGCAGTAATTTATAAGATCTGATAAAGTGAGGTACAAGGTGACAACTATTAACATGAAAGACAGCAATAGTCTGAGATGTAGACTTATATTTTAAAAATGATAATTGACATCTTTTCAGTACCTGCTACCAATTAGACAATGTTAAACTCTCACAACAGCCATATATAAACAGAGACACAAAGAAAGTAAGTAGCTTGTTCCGTGTCAAACACCTAGTCCCAACTGAGGTCAGACAAAAGTCCTGCACTCTGGGGCAAAGGACACTGTTTAACAATGATGGGATTAGAACTTCTTGAGATTCTCTAACAAAAAATGTCAGTGGGTCATGCTCTTACTAGGAGGGCCGGAAGGCAGTTGGAGTCAACCTCTCATTTACAATATATGGACACTAAAGATCAAAGGGGTTCTTTTCAGTTTGTTTTATATATTATGAGACAGCGTCTCAGAAAAGTTAAGGAATTTTTCCAGTGCTCCAAAGCTAGTAAGTTGTAGAACAAGTCAGAAGCCAGACGTGACTCCACAGTGGGTGTCTTTTCTATTAACCTGTGTTAGGAGCTCCACTCTCCTGATTCCATTGCCCTCTACAGCATGATCCCTGACAGACTGAAAAAGTGCAATATGATGTGGAAGAAGTTGTCTAGAGCATCTCCTGAATACAGAATAATGGGGTAATTACCCCAGGCCTAATTTTGAGGGTGCCTAACCATAGGAATAGCTGAGAAAGAAGCAAAGAGGGAGAGATTTATCCAGAAGGCACTAAAAAGTTAAGCATACAAAGTCTTCTAGACCTTGTGCAGGAAATTATTTCTAATTTCATCAATATGAAACAAGTAATTTAAGTAGAACTGCCTTTTATTTCCTTAAAGTTCATTTTTACTTAAAACTCTTGGGTATTTCAGCAAGTATACTATACATACTTGTATGGGAGAGGAAGAAGGATGCACTGGGGGAACAGGCCAAAGAGGAACAACTGCTGGCACTGGTGTGACCTTGGGGAAGTGTTTTAATATTTCCAGGATGATCAGTACGGTAATAATAATTGTGTTTAGTCTAGAAACCACATGTCTCTAAGGTGTCTCCTTAAACAAAGAAGTTATAGCACAAACTGTTTTGATTTCAAAGCCTTTCAGTTGAAAGAACATTTTTGTATTACTTTGGGATACCTTAAGAAAATTTAGGGAGATAATCTATAAAAAAGTGGCTAACATATAAATTATACCTTATCTTTAGGATTTCAGAAATATGTGGGGAACAAATCCTTTATTTGCTGAGTATTTCCGAATTCCAATTTGAAAGAAAATTCTGTCACAAATGATTTTCTCACATGAATGCTTTTGTTCTTCTTGGCATTTTGTGCCAAAAATTTTAAAAGAGCTTGTAATTGAAGGCTACTGGTATGCCCGATTCATGGAACTGCTTTCAGTACTTGTAAGTTTTCCTTTAAATATTTCCCTAATATCTCTAGTTTTACTTAAATTTACCTAACTTTAATTTCCTTGCTAAAACATATTTTATGTACAACAAATTAAAGAAACATTTCTTTTTCTTTTCCATACTGCTAAAATTATAGCTCAGAATAGAGAAATAAAGCAAAAACACAAATGTGAATAATTTAGGTCAAACATGAGATCAGATCATCATGCACATATATGGCATGCTTCCCTAATCCCTAGGCAGAAGAAAACAACTGGGGTGGCAGACACTTCTGGCTGAGGATGGAAACGGAGGGGAAAGCTGGCAACATACAAATGAGGGAGAAAACAGTACACATTCAGCCTGCTGACATCTGCTGCACATGCAAAATGGATTGGACTCTGTAATCCAGGGCGAAAGCAAATGCTTTTTTCCTTCCTTCCTCCAGTTCAATAGTTATTGCTGAGTGATGGTCTCATTCTTTTCACATTCACAGATTAAAATTAATAACAGCATCTGAATTTGAAGTAGATCCCACTGAATAGCAAACCAGAAGCTAAATGAGCTGAAGAAATTAGTAATGAAGCATTTGAATAGGGAGAGGTCATGGGCAAATACCATTTTTTTTTTTTAAACAGCTTTACCTCAGGATGATGTCCAATTTCAACGTAGGTGCAAATTGGATGAAAAGCCCCCGTTCCACAGGCGTACAAGTGAGTCTGATTATAAGCCTTAAGCACCTTGATGAAATTAGCACATTCTTTCTGTAAAACAAAAGGAAAACCAGTGAGTTCTAGCAGTCAGCATGACTCAAAGATCCTCAAGGGTGCTAGGCATGCTTGAACAGATTTCTTTTGTGTCCTTTTCACAACATTTTTAAAAAAGGCATATTTTTCTATTGTTTGTTTATGTTATTATATTATTATATTATTTATATGTAATATTATAATATTATATTATTATTAAGTGAACTAAAATACAGACATTCTTATTCTTTGGGAGGGCCAATAAAATATTCTCTTCCATAATTGTTCCTTAAAACTCTTTGCAATCTATTTATACAAAAGTGGAGTAAAGGTACAGATAATCAGTAACTACATGGAAATTACATGGTTAATTAAAGATATTTAAAGAATACACTAGTGAAATTTCTTTGCAAAAATGAGCTGTAAGTTTAATTTTAGAAAAACAAAATAAAAATAAAAGATGAAACAACCTTCTATTAAACATGAACTTTGAACATCATTAATAACCAGCAGTGATGGGTAGATGACTTTGAACTTCAGTTCTGCTTGTTGGTAAGCTCTGTAGAGCTTTTCCTCTCGAAAATGTCACTTTGGCCTTAAAGACAATGTGGATATATTCATATGAGATAGAGAAGATGTTACAGTATAAAATGTCTATAGGTATAAAGATCTTTTGTAGAGTGGGTATAATTAATGAATATTTTCAGGAGGTTTATGGACATCCTGAACCCATACATGGATCACATGCCCAATAGCCATGAATCCCTCAGGTAAAGAACAGTTAGTTATAAGAGTATATTCTAGTCCTATCTTATTATTATTTATAGACATTGAGACATCCCTAACATTTTATTTTCTGAATAAAAGATCACTTAAAAATAAAATAGGTGGTTAACTAGGTAGAATTTAAATAAACATTTGGAAAAAATAAAATAAAATGGACAGAGCTATTTATATTCCTTCTATGTATTCTATATGTAGGTCCTATTAAAGAAATTGTTTTTGTGGGGGCACCTGGGTGGCTCAGTGCGTTAAGCCTCTGCCTTTGGCTCAGGATGGAGCCCCGCATCCCGTTCTCTGCTCAGCAGGGAGCCTGCTTCCCCCTTTCTTTCTACCTGCCTCTCTGCCTACTTGTGATCTCTGCCAAATAAATAAAATAAAATAAAGAAATTGTTTTTGTGAACAGGAATTTAAGACTTTTGTTCCTATTGGTAAAAGATGTGGGGGAAAATCAGCTAGTCAAAATATAAACTGATAATCCTATGGCCCAAAAAATCCAGAGCAGAGAAGACTCAATTTTTGCAAAATATTTTATCAGATGAATCTATACCAATATTATAAAAAGAAAAAAATGAAAAGAAAATCCCAAACTGTCAAAATAGCTTCAAATAAAATGTTACAGTCTCTTAACCATATAACACATCTTAAGAATTGAATACATATGAGTAGAAAGTATGAGTTCATCATGGAATACATAATATCCATTTTGAAAATAGTCAAATGTATATTCACATGCTAAATAATAAAAACTTCTTAGAAAGTTATATTGTTATTGACCATAGACTGTCCTCACTAATTTTATGTATTTGCCTATAAACATTTGGAAATAAGAACCAAATATATAACTAGAAATGCAGATAAAGATGAAAAGCAGACTATATTGCAAGCAAGGCTGACAAACTAATAGAATATTCAGTTCATCCCAGCAGCCCTAAGTGTATAACACACTTCCAATTCCCTCTCTGTGACATGTGACTCTTCTAGTGAAAGCTCAGAATGCATTTGGGCTTTCTCATAGTCAGTAAGAGTTTATAACTGAGGTGTTACAATAATGTAAGTACATTTCCACATGACATTTATATTCTGGGTTTGCAGCTGATAATTTTGGTTTTATCTCTATGCCCCCATAAAATGAGGAGACAACCAAACTTGAGCAAAGTAATTGTTCTTTAAATTTAAATAGTTGCTTTCCATCATTCCTGATTTTTTCTGGGATGAAACCTAGGGATGTCCATAAATACACTGTTCCAAAGGGGAAGTAGACCAATTTAAGGTAAATTCTGTAACTTCCTAGTTATGATTCCTCATTACTTTAACACAGGCTGAGTAGTTTAGAAGAGTAACTAAAATAAACATCTAATTTCTACTACTGTTTTGCCACTTTGATCCTGAATCTTTTGTCTGGTAAAACATTGTAACACACAATTAAGCTCTGAAATCAATTAATTTTGCAAGTTGTTATGAAGAAAAATTCCCTAACTTGAAGAGTATATAGATTTTACTTATATCTAAAGCTACATCTGAGACGAAACAGTTTAAAACCTAATTTCCAAGACTCTCAACAACAAACTCCCCATTCTCTAACAGTTTCTCTCCTCCCAAGAGGCAAGGGCATGAATGACTAGGCAGAGGAAAAAGGCTGTGGACAGGGAAACATCTGATAAACTCATTTACAAATGAGGCATTCATTAGTCTTACCCAAAGGATTTATTTGTACTTTAAAGACTATTCAGTCATTTGCAAAGAAGTCATTTTCAGGAAAATGTTTTATGGCATCCCCTTTTTTGAAACATGTAGGTGGCCACATACTCTACTTTTACATAAAGACAGCCGTCCCTAATTGTGGACTCAATATTAAAGCAGTCATGATTATAAATAACCAGTTCCGGCACCATATGTTGAAACCAAGAAACTGGCTGCATATATATTGGTAAGCAAACAAATATTCTAATAAATAATAGTGGCAGAACCAGATGGATGTCTTGTTCACTTTAGAAAAGAACAGGGTTTCGGTTTGCCTGCCATGCCTTTAAAGATATGCATGTAATTTTGAATACAAATTCAAATTCTCTAATCCCATTAGTAATACCTAAGAAAATCCTAGAAATCTGAGAATAGATCCTACTTTTCCACAAAAAGAGGAAATATTTTATGAGCACTATACTTGTGAACACAAATGAAGACTCATGTCATCTCTGCAAGTGTTATGAATCCAAAGATGATAGAATTTGTGAGTTCATATCTCTCACAGATTGGGCAATTGATTAGCAATAATTAATAATTAAAAACTCAGGGTTCTTGAAAACTATGGAATTGAACTACACTGAATATCACAATTTTGTTTTCTATTTACTGTCAAAGAAGCATCACTATGGTATGACAGCCATCCCTCTACAGAGCTGCTGGAAAAAAAACAGGAGACCATTGCTTTGAAACCTGGCGAAGGGTTCTACTGAGAATACTGGTAACAGAGTCTATCCCTGCTACAAAGGGAGTAGACCCACCCGACTGGCCTGGAATGATCCCGTTCATTTCCACAATGAACTCTCCTAGCTGGCGAGCAGGTTGTATTGTTGCCATGCCCAGGAGCTAGCTCAATATTCTTTTGAAGTGAGGGCTGATGCAAATAGAATGGGGAGAAATTTCCTGGGTTGTACAGTAGGCTAAGACATTTGAAATAAACAAAGAAACTGAATAAAATACTTTCAAAATTGGTTAAAAAACACCTGCAAAGAAATAGTGAATTAAAAGTACGGGACAGAGAAGAACCAAAAACTTGAAAGAGGCATTGTTAATAAGGATTGTTCTTTAAAACAGAAAATCTACATAAAAGAGTATCGATTCTGTCATTCATTTGCCTTCATTCTCTAGCTTGTTGCTGCCAAGGGTTGTTTTTTCTTTTTTTTCGTAATGTTCCAAAACAGGACATTCATTTTATTTGGAAGCAGCCTGGACATTCCTCTAAAAAAGAAGGAAGCGTGGCAGAAAAAGGAAACACACTTCACACATTTCTGTTCTAGGGAGACAGAAGAGTGATTCTGACCTTTTCTTGAACCATGATGATTCTTAAAACTTAGGATGTAATGTACTTTTTGGCATTAAACTACTGCACTGCTTTGCTTAGCACCGGCGGATTTACAACGCAATAAAGAAAATGTAATCAGTTCAAAATGAATTCATTTTTCAAACCTTGATCCTTTTTGGAACTCAAGTTGATATACACAGACAAGTTTAGCAACAAGTTGGCTTCCCGAGAGTCAGGCAACCATACTGACCTCTTATTTTACTTAAATATATTCCAGGCCCAAAGCATTATAAATTGTTAACTTTGCCTAGAAGTAAAAGCACAGGCAGTAATAAACCAGTAAACCCCAAGGCCACACCTGAGGAACAATGATTCATCATCCCTAGTGACAAACCATTCGCCCTTACGGTTTAAAGGTTTCTAGTGCTTTCAGATCAAATTGATAGAGGAATTACACCAAAGAGATATCAACCTGGAAAAATAAATTAGAAAGAAAATGTCTACCCCCAGAAAAAAGATACAGGAGCCAAATGCACTGTGATTCAAAAACAAACATCGCAAATATGTAGCACTGATTAGACTATGTTACGCAGACTTTTCCCGGACGGTTACAAAAATAAAGTCCATCCATCTGTCAAAACAACTGCTCCATGCATGAAAATTAAAACAGAACTGAGGTGTTTTTAACTAACTTCCGATTATTATACTTTCTACAAAAGAATATAATTTACCTCCAATTCCAATTACCTCCTTGCATGTTCTTAAATTATGGATGGAGTAGTGAAATGTTACTCTAAATAAGAGAAAAGAGGAGAGAAGGCTGTGAAGATGAACAATTTCTATTCAAATATATTCAGTTCATGATTAAATCAAACAACTTGTTCTGGTTCAAATAAAAATCCACCCAAAATGAATGGGTATAGTAGAGCATTGCCTCAGGTCAGCGAACATTCATTTAAAAGAAAAAAGTCTCTATCCCCTCAGTAGTTTATGTAGAAATATTTTAATGTATAATCTACCATCTGGGAAAGCAAAGCAATCCTTTTCCTATCATGATGGGTGGATACATTTCTGCATGAAAATCCATTAATAAGCTTAATTCCTGAAGTTAATCTGTTGACTTTCTTTTTCTCTGGTCAGTTTATTTGGCAAACTGGCTGAATGCTAGACTCTTCGTGCCAAAGCAGTAATCCATGAGATTGTTCCTGTCACT